TTTGTAAAACAGAATTGCCAGTAGAGGAAAAAATAATACCTAATTCTTGAGACAATGTGACTGACTAACTAGAAAGATGTTTTGGGGTTAGGAAGCCTGACTGTGCTTCCCTGGATATGCCCTAAGTACCAGCTGTTCAACCCTCTGAAGGCTGAACTGTAAGCATCTGTCACCAAGCACTAAAAACCCTGGAGCCACTGGGCATCTAAGTCTTGACTTCTCTGAATTATGGTTTTTTCTCTACTCATAGAGAATAGCTTCACACTTTTGTTAAAATATTCAAAGAACAATGGATTAAAAACATCCTAACATGTAATTACTAGCTTCTTTCATTGTAAGGTGAGTGAAGTATGATCCTTCTAAAGAAGAGCTTCAGGTCAAACTGATATAACTTTCCTGCATCTGGCCTTGCAGGATGTAAACAGTTGTAGCAGTGATCTGCCACTGGGGAGCAATGGTATGAGAGCAGATATTTCTTGAGAGGTTTTGTTCATTCAACAGCTCTTCTATTCATCAACCTTTTGGCAAGTTGCTGTCCTCCAGGTCTGTGTTTGAATTTCACAGTATATGTCTTATTAATGATACTCTTATCTAGGAGGAAGACCTAGGGACAACAGAGCTCAACATGGGACACAGATATCCGTGACCACTTGGGTATTTTTAAGAAGTACTGGCACAAGTTTGCAACTGAAAATTTTCCATCCTGAGAACAGCCAATGTGCCGGAAGCTTCCAAACCGACTCCCCCTGCTAGCATTTAGGCTAGTGAGTTTTTTACTGGGAACATATCAGAGATAGACACCTGTGGCAAACACGTGTTGAGAGATCAAAAAGCATCTTGTTTGGGTTTTTCAGTGCTTGAGCGTTTGCCAATATCAGCTAGAGCAAGCAATCAAAAACTTTTTATGTAGCTGTACTGGGATTTTTCAGGCCAAATGGGATCAACAGTGCAAAATCTATATTTCTGCTTAACAGGTTCATTTACAATTAGGAAAATGTCCAAGGGAATCCACCCCTGTTGTATAAATATTAATTACTAGTAATATTTTTGTAAAGGCTAGATTATACTCTCTCCTAACTCAAGACACCTTCTTTCACTGTCTCATAATCTCTTTTTCTGTCTTCAGTGTCCAAGTTTTGAGTCTTGTGCAATATTTAAATAAACTGTGCACTTGCAAACAATTTTAATGTTTGCTTACTGGGGGAAAAAAAAAAAAGCAGACTGTGATTTTTTGGCAAGGGGTAAAAATCCTCCTGAATAAAAGCAAGTTGGATTTTAAAATCCAACGCAGTAATAACATATACTGTGTGTTCTTGTAATGGAGGTTTTATCAATTAAAAAGCTTACTACTCTTTACCTGGAAAGGTAAACACTGAATATTCCCTCCCCTCCTTCCTTCTGCTGTTTCTGAGATGTTCCTCACAGAAAGACTTGGACCAACCTGAGCTTCACAAGAAGGGAGACAATCTAACCAGCAGATCCAGTGTGCTCAGAGATGTGGGGATATATTTTCAAAATAACTGTATGAGTGTTCTTGGGGCAGCATCTGCCCAAAAATTAGCTTAGATAGGTAGATGTATAGCTCCAGAGTTGGCACAAAAGATTATCAAATGCTTTTTAAATGCAAAATTTGTTATGAAATCAACAGAAGCATCATCCGTCATCATGACAAATTCTAAACGAAGTGCTTTGAAAAGTTAATCTTTCTTATTAAAATGATAAATCTAGAGGAACATGTAACCTGTCATATTGGAGTAGACTCATTTCTCCATTTGGTTTAGTAGCTTGCATCAAAGCATATAATCAAATACTATAAACCTGTTGTGCCTAGCCTCATCTCATTAAACAAGTTTATTGAATACCCTCAAGTGTGAAGGTGTCTCAAATATCTTTGGAGCCCTCTCTCTTTGAGAGGACTAAGGAATTGTGTCTGTCTATGCTGCTTCATAGCCATCATTATACTGACTGCCTCCAGGCATTCATCCTGCTGAAATCCACCAGCAACTCTTCCCTTAATGTAACTTCCACCTGTTGATTGAGTCCTACCTGCTGAACATATGTCCCTTCAGATAGGACAAGATATGCATGTCTTGGTTGACTGGGACATATGGAATCACCCGTGCTTTGGAGGGGATGCTGCACAGTCAGGCATCCAATCCATACATTGTACAAGGCTGGTTGGAGTCACAGTCCCAACCTTCTTTACAGAGTCCCTCATGGCAACAGATCCTACTGTGGACATTTGTATAATTGTAGCAGATTAAAAGCTCCTAAAGCTAAATATTAATGTCATGTACAGTCTTGTAGTCTCCCAGAGTTAATTGAAGGTGCTGTCAGAATTGGGCAGTTATACCCAGAAGGCTGTCGAAACCAAAATGTCATTTCTACAGATTCATAATAAAATCCTCCTTTCTTCTCTTATGCAACCATAGACTGTTGCCTCCGAGTTATTCCTTACTCCTTTCCCTTTTTGAAGGGGAACATTTCTGTTTCATTGTAGCTCTAGTGCTGTAGCACGCATGCTGTGTGACCTGCTTTTGGCTGTTGGTGGCTGACACCACAGCCCCTCTAGGCTTTGTCCTCTTTGTTGCTATAGTCCGATAATGCTTCTTGCTATTACAAGGCCATGGCTCAAAGTTTTGGGTCTCAAATGATGTCCTGGATCTACATAAGTGAAGACAACCAATGCCTGAGCAGAATCTGTTAGGAGAGGAACAGAAAATGAGAGGGTAGCAGGGAGAAAGGAGTTGTCTGAATGGCTGTGCAAGGAAAAACTCTGTGAGCTGTGAGCTGAGGTCGGACTTGGTTCTTTGTGGTGACCTGATTTTTGTTTTATTTTTTTCTGTTGTATTTACAAAACATGAGATGTTATCGAGAGACAATGCACCTAATTCTTTGAAGTGCTGAATAAACTCCTGACAGGCCTTGACCAGCCAAGTTTCTATTTCTTGCCAACAATTTTACTTGTCATTTGCCCCAGAAATGGAGATCTATTACAATTAAACAGCAATATGTTTGTGGGAAAGGATGTGGATGTTGAGTTGGTTTTTTGCCACAAATTTTTGATGTGCATGTGTTCTGGAGAAGTTGGGGAAGTGAAGGGAGCTATGAATTTTTCTGGGATGTGTTTGCCTTCCAACAGTTTTGTTTCCAGTTGTTAATTCTCCAGTATTTTTCAGGCTAACGTGAAGCAGATAATCTCATACATGGTGTAGGAAAATGAAAGTAATCCCAAAATATCTATCAGAGACATTTTAATCCTAATTAAAACTGAAGGAGGAAAGAGAAGGAATGAAATACACTTTATAGTCTTGACTTATTCCCCATCAAGGAGATTTTTTCCATTCCAGAAAGCCCCTGAATTATTTCTAATCAGCCTTTCAGCCTTCACCATGAGTGACAGGGCAAGGAGGAGAACGCTTGCTAGCGTCTTGGGAGAATTTATTTAAGGTTCTCCTGAGCTGCAGAAGGGATTTGTCATTGTCAATATCGGCGATGCGGCTGATGAGTACCCTGGTCAGTCTTGTCATCAGAAAAGGAAGTAGCGTACATGTGTGACAGACAAAGAGAGAGAGAAGAGAGAGAAAAATTATTTCACAGAAAAATTATACTCATTCTAGCCATCTCTGTGTGTGTTCTAGCTGTTGTTCCACTAATTCTTGGGGAAATAAAAATAAAAACCACCATTCAATTTCTCTTTAATTTACTTCACTGAGCACTTGGAAGATGAATCTGTGAGGGAGAGCATGCTAGTCTGAGAAAAAAGGAATGCAGTAGTTATTCCTAAGCTATACTCTTTTATGCACCATGGAATTTTGTAAGTTAATTTCAGGAGACCCCAAAGAAACTGTAATAAGCAAATCTCTCATGTTAAGATATTTGGGATCTGCAAAGCATACAGAATTCCAGAGCTTATCTGAGTTTATCAGCAGTAGTTGACACTTTGATCTCCCAACTGAGCCAGGAATCACTTTGAAACAGGTGTCTATGTAAGGTTTTCCATTGCATTATGATTCTGATCAGCTTCAGGCTCTCACTGCACTTCCAATTTGATCTAAAAATACTTTTAGCTGATGTGGGCTATAAAACACTCACTTGTAGGTGAGGTGGTACTGTCTTCCCTAATTGCAAGATTCAGTTATTTGTAATTTCAAAGGTCAAGAGATACATCTGTGATAAAACAATTCACCAACATATTTGAGCACTTCTGACACAAGCAGGAGGTTTTTCTTCCAGACCATAGGTAATTGCAGAAGGTATTTTCTGTTCAAAGGAGATTTCTTTCGCTGAAGCCTGAGGTGCCTCATCCCCTCTACTATCCCTTTCATTTGCTTGCTGAATCAAAAGAGCTGCTGGATATTAGGAAATCATGGTTTGGCCTGTACAGCAAGTCCCTCCCAGGCTATTCCCACAGTTAAAAGGGTATGGCTGTAGCAAATGTGCACACAGAGTTCATCTTGGTCAATTCAGCTTCCTCTGAAGCCATTGTCTGTCTCCAAAATGGTTGAAGTTTCAGTTTATTAAAGAGATGGCATAAGAGGATAGACAGAATATAAGTAACCCCACTTAATTTGACAAGTTTGGGCTCATGTCCTCCTCTCATGCCACTGGTGTCCCAAAACAGGGGACAGAAGGTTTCAGGTGCATATTATCCTCCTCATACACCCATTGTTCTGTGTTTAGGTACTACCTCTTTGGATTCTGTGCTTGGTATATGGGAGACCATAACAAGGACTAGGATTTAAGTCAGATGTCTAGATTACAAAATTCTAATGAAAAGTCAGACTATCAGAAAATCACTGTGTTTATATTTCTTTTGCTGTTGATTTCAATAACAAACGAGCTGTACATTTTACTACATCACAGGATCTACAAATGTTCTTGAGTCTTTTAGAAAAATAGTTGAGTAACAAAAGTTGCTCTGAAATTCTTGACTTTAATTTCATTGGCATATCCATCGTAAGAGGCATTAAGAAAATTTGTATGAGGCACTAGAAAAATTCTGATATGCAAAATTGTTTGAATAAATGGCTGGTTTCCAACATCACTGAAGTTCTGTAGCTGGTATATAAAGCCCCAAGAAAATTGCAAGAGCTGACAGTTAGTAGGGTTTTTTTTTTTTAAAGAAGGAATTTCCGATTTTTCAGACTTAAAATGTTAATTGGAAACAATGTAATCTGATGACATTCTAATGAAATTTCATTGTGCTTGCCTATCCAGGACTGCAGCAGTCTAGATTTCTAAATGTTATGACTCCAGAACAACTTGGAAGGTGAATTTCCCACAGATTCATTTTCTACTTTCTTTCAAAAGGGAAACAATGAGATTTGCGTCAGGATATTTCAAACAGCCCAATCTTACATGTAAGAAAGAGAATGCTGGTCACTCTGTCCTAGTTTCAGCAGGGATAGAGTTAATTTTTGTCCTAGTAGCTGGTACAGTGCTGTGTTTTGGATTCAGTATGAGATTAGTGTTGATAGCACACTGATGTTTTAGTTGTTGCTAGGCAGTGTTTATTCTAAGACAAGGACTTCTCAGCTTCTCATGCACTACCAGTGAGAAAGCTGAAGGGGCACAAAAAGTTGGGAAGGGACACAGCCTGGACAGCAGATGGAAACAGGCCAAAGGGATATTCTGTGCTATATGACATCATGCTTAATGTATAAACTGGGGAGAAAGTTAACTGGGGGCCAATGCTTGGGAACTGGTTGGGCACCAGTTGTCGAGTGATGAGGAATTGTATTGTGCATCACTTGTTTTATATATTCTCTTTCATCATTATTATTATTTTCTTTCTTTTCTGTCCCATTAAACTGTCTTTATCTCAACCCCTCAGTTTTCCCACTTTCCCTCTTCTCATCCTGTTGGGGGTGTGTGGGGGTGAGTGGCTGTGAGGTGCTTAGTTGCCAGCTGAGGTTAAACCACAACACTCTCTATGACTGAGACTTTTATAGAGCACTTTCAACTGAAAATATTTTTAGATCAAATTGAGAGTGCAAATTGGGGGAGGAAATTTGAATGAAATTCACTTATAAACAGTTACTCATGATTTGGAAAACAGGCCCACAAGGGAAACCAGGCATAAGCTACACCTTAACCATGAAGAATTCAGAGAAATAATGAAGTTGAATGTGCAAATGGCTAATCCCTCCCTAAATTTTAAATTTTGGCCAGCTTCTGTTGAAAACTATACAGCTAATAAAATTCCCTCACTAGGATATTCTCATTCCCTTGCCTTTTTTTGTTGTTTGTTTACTTGTTGGATTTTTGTTCTATTTTACCAAGTAGATCTCAACAGTTGTGTGAAAAGATAGGTTATAACAAGTGAAAGTAAGTCTGGAAAAACAATTTTGCTGGAAAAATAACTGGAACTGCTTACATATATTGCTAGATTCTACATTTCTTTTAACTTGCGGGAAGAAACACAGAGAAACTCTTGGTCGGCCAGCCCAAACCATTGCTATTAGCCATCAGAATTTATTAATAAAGAGAATTCCTGTTAATTGATTCCAATGTTAGTTGATATGCAGAGTCCATACTGTTATATTTGGTTCCTACTCGGAAGGAAAATAATATCTAGGCAACAAAATATTTTGCACTGTTTACCTCAAACTTAAAAACAGCGGCCCAACTACAAGTAGCCTGAAGGCCAAAACTAATTGTAAGAAATCTTATCCCATAAACACTTGTCTTATGAAAGACAAGAGCTACAAAAAATAGGATCAAATACAGGATGTCTTCTGCTATCCATAGCTGTAACATCCTGGGTGTGGCTCGATATAAAAAGAATTTTTCTATATAAAGAAGCATGGTGACTATATGGATGAGCAGAAGGTGGTTCCTCCCTTGGCAATTGAAGAACAAATTTCTTTGTTGGTTTTTTAACTTCCATAAACTCCTGGATGCTTCAGATCTCTCCCTTAAAGCATCATATACATAGTGATTTGATTGTCTGCCAGGACACTGTTGAGAAGCTAACTTACTGAAAGGAAAAGCAATAGTGATTGCAGTTCAACCTGCAAGTGTGGTCAAGGGCCCTGTCATACTTGTGGATTTTTATCTGTCATCATGGTAAGCATGCTCCACACCTGGACAGGTGCCAAAGAGGGTCTGGTGTTAATGTCTGCTTGCCCTCATGGTTGCTGTAGTGGGTTGACCCTGGCTGAATGTCAGGTACCCACTAAAGCTGCTCTCTTCCTCCGCTCTGAAACTAGAGAGAGGAGAGAAAAAAAACCAGCAAAGGAATCATGAGTTAAGAGCTGGGAGAGGTCACTTACTGATCACTATCATGGGAAAAACAGACTCAAAGTGGGGATATTACTTAAATTTATTGCTAGTAGGATCAGAGCAAAAGAGTGAGAAGTAAAATAGTCTTAAAAACACCTTCCCCCCACCCCTCCTTCCTTCCATGCTCTACCTCCTCCTCTCCAGCTGTGCAGGGGGATGGGGAATGGGGGTAATGGTCAGTTGTTGTTTCTGCTGCTGCTCAGGGAGAGAAGTCCTTCCCCTGCTCCCGTGGGGTCCCTCCCATGGGAGACAATCCTTCATGGACCTCTCTGGCATGAGTCCATCCCTCAGGCAGCAGTTCTCCACAAAACTGCTGTCCCGTGGGTCACTCCTCCATGGAGTGCAGTCCTTCACAAATGAGCTGTATCGATGTGGATCCCCCACAGGGGCCAAAAGTCCTACCTGGGTAAAACCTGCTCCAGCGTGGGCTTCCCTCTACATGGGCTGCAGGTCCCTGGCAGGACTCTACTCCATCCTGGGCCTCCCGTGGGGTCACAGCCTCCTTCACGCATCCACCTGCTCCAGCATGGGCTCCTCCATGGGCTGCAGGTGGGTCTCTGCACCCCAATGGTCCTCAGTGGGCTGTAGGGGGTCAACCTGCCCCACCATGGTCTGCACCAGGGGCTGCAGGGGCCACAGCTCTGGCCCCTGGAGCAACTCTTGTCCCTCCTTCTGCACTGACCTTGGTGTCTATGTTGTTATTCCCATGTTCTCACTCCGCTCTTCCCTGGCTGGAATTTTTCACTGTGCAATAACTTTCTGTTCTTAAATATGTTATCACAGAGGCGTTACTATCAGTCCTGATTGGCTTGGCCTTCGCCAGTGGTGGGAAGTCCATCCTGGAGGCAGCTGGCATTGGCTCCACCAGACAGGGGAAGCTTCTAGCAGCTTCTAACAGAAGCCACCCCTGTAGTCCTCCCATGCTACCAGAACCCAGCCACAGAAACCCACTACAGTTGCGAAGATGTTACTTTTTCTGGGGCATTTTTGCTGACCAGTATTGTTTTTTTCTGAGTAATTTAGCTTTTGAGTGCCTCTCGAGATGAACATTAAACAGCATAAACCTGCAGTTATGGAGTATGGGATATTCTTGACTGTTGATGTCAATAATAGCTTAAGACACATCAGTGATTCCATGGTGTTCCTGAACCATTTGGGTAGGATTAATCTTCCCCGAGTTTAAGTAATTTGTTTTAACCAGTCTTCCTGCATCCTCCCAAAGGGAAGTCATTCTGTTATAAGATGAGCAGCTCAGATGGTTTGCCTTCTGATGGGCTTGGCTCCATCAATGGCCTTTGAATATAGAGGGAGCAAAGTCACTTGATGATTAGGCTATGTTAGATGCCTACACTCTCAACTGGGAGGGATGAATTCTACCTCTCTAGGACAAAGACAATTTGATTCCACAGATTTAAATCTAAATATGGAGGAATAGAAGTAATACTGAATATTAAGGTATTAATTTGATCTTAATTGAAATTATAGATTAAGTATGCCTAACACCTGAGGGAAATAAGTATTTATTGCATGCCTTTATCAAGTCAGGGCAGATTTCTGAGTCAAAGAAAGTACAGAAGGTGATAAATTATCTTCTGTGGATGATTCTTTTGTCCATAAGTGTGGTTAGATTTGTTGAAGAGTGCAGCTCTTTATCCACTTCTCTAAAGAACAGAGCATTTCCCAGGTAAGCGAAAGGTCACCTTCTTCAAGCTGCAACTGTAAATAACCAGAGTGGAGTCCACTAATTCATAACTAAGTCATCTCTGATAGAACTGATAAGTCTGCTCTGTTGTCAGAGCATAAATCAGAGCTGCTCTTATTAAGCTATGAATGCAAAACCTCTCCAGAAAGCCCACTTAAAATTGAGGCAGATGCTAACATATTTGTGCTTTTTCTCAGAGCTGAAAAGAATAACAATTTACTAATATGTACACTTCTAATTAAGAAAGCATCTGTTTGTGTCAGGAGTTGGGGTTGTTGGCATTTTTAATTTCCTTGGTTTTGCTTTTCACATTTAAATGACCAAGTTTAAGGTGGCTTGTTGTTGTTTTACATATACATATACATATATATATAGCCAGATATTTCATTGCAGATATTCTCTCCTGGCTTTTTTGAGTCATAGTACACAGTAGAATCATGACTCCATGGAGCAGTGCAGCACTGTGATAGAAATCCCCAGGCTGTCTCCAAGCAGTCAGCCGTGTCAATGTGGCACAGTGTGACGTCATGAAACAAGGCTAGTGCAGGTCCCCAAAGCCGTGTACTTGCATTACCTATTCCACACCCTGAAGGAGCCCTGCTGGCACCAGCGTGGGAGCCTTGGCACCACTCTCCACTGTTTGCTGCGGTTATCACTCCATAGTTCATGCCAAGCGGGGAACTACTGGTATCACACAGAAGTGATACCAGCTGAAGGCATAGACTGAAGTATGGCTATAATGATTTAATATTAAATTTTAATCCTTGGTGAACTGGATTCACGGAGTTACATATATGACTCTGTGAATAATGATAAAGCTGGTTGTCACATGAACGTATTGCAGCACTGGCTAAATATAGAAACACAATTAAAGTTCTATCTATGGTTTCTGTTAGGATCTGCTTAGAGATTAATTTTATCCTGAAGGTACTCACTCCACAAAAATACATTTTAAAGAAAAAGAATCTGAGCATGCAATTTGTTTACGTGTTTTGCATTCCTAAAAGGATGTAAAATTCACTGAATGGTGCTTCTGTTGTGTGTAGTTGTGTAGACATATGAAGGGAAAGCTACTGAAAAAAAAGACGGAAAAATTCCAGCCATATATTAAAATGTTTATGTACTGGTCCAATATGATTAAAGCAAGACACAAGATTACTTTTTTTTTTTTTATAAACTAGGTGTTATTCTCATTCTCCAGGTTTCTCTAGGAAATAAAAACCTTAACTTTTGAAATCTGCAGTGTAAGGAAAGAAATCAGGGTATAACCCATCCCTCCTTTAGTGCATCAGCACTGCAGCTCTAAAGGAAAGCAGTCATACAGTACACTTCGCATCACCCACAAAAAATAAGTCCTAGCAAATAAGACCATTTTGCAGTAGGGTCTTAATTAGTTTTTTGAAGCCAGAAGAGTTGTTCTGCAAACCTCTTTTGGCTCCATCTCCTGTCTGAGGTTGAGAGGAGTAGCATAGACTCTGAGTAGAGAGAATCCACTCAATAACCTGGATTTAATTTCAGGCTCATCGATGGGGCCTTTGTATGCCTTTTGCATATGGGTGTAGCATTTACCAATAACTTCAACATTAGAAAGACCTGAAAACCTCCTGCAGTTTGTGCCTTTTGGTGAAAGTTAATGTCATGTTCTGACTTGTATCCTATGACCAGGCTCTTTGTACTACTTTACAGAAGTGGCAAAAGGATGAGCAGACACAACAAATACTTCATTTTGATGCTACATTTATTCATTTCTAGGTCCATGGAGAGAATTTAGTTGAGAGTCAGATTTAATTACCTCTTACAGTGAACACCATATCCAGACTTTAACACATTTGCTATTCCTGGTAGAGGGCTGAGGGTCTCATTGAAAGCACTGTTTTGGAAAAGGATATTTTCTACAGTCCCAGGAGCTCCAAGGTAATCCTTAGAATTTTGAGCAGTTAATTTTGTTTCTACTTTGGAGGCCAACAGACTGAATTCATGTCAGGCAGTGGGGAAGGGAAATATCCAACTGGGAAGTGAAATGAAGGGCACTGTGAGCACAAGAAGGTAAAGCAGGATAAAAAGAATTGGAGAGAAAGGAAAGAGGGAAAAAGGTTAGATGTCATTTTCTGCTTCCCCTCTCCTCTGTTTGATCCCAGGAGTCCTTCAGTGCTGCCTCGCAGAGAACCGCTGTAACACCTGAGCCGGGAGGCAAAGGATGACCCTGACAGAGATGTTTCAAGTGCAAAGTTGGTAGGCACAAAACTTGAAAGGGAAATAATACCACTTATACCTAAAATATTGCTAGGGTGAGAGAAATGGAGGCTTCACTGCTTCTCTAAACTGTGCCCCAGGGATAGATGGAGAATTTGGCTCTCATCCTGTCTTCTGCCCTTTCCCAGACTTGCTCTGGTTGCTCTGCTCACAGCACTTTGCAGTTTCTCTGTGTCACCGGGTCACTTGGTAAAGCATTCACAACACCTACGGGGAACTGTGCTGCTTTGCAAGTGAGCTTTAATCTGTACAAGTGATAGTAGCAAGAGGAAGGAAGGCTAAATGACTGAGTCATGGACTTCATAAAGGAAGGTTTTTCTGCAGAAGTATTCTACCAGGTGACATGGCTACATTACTTTCTCAGGGACTGGCCTCAACTTCAGCATCAGCTTCAGTATCATTCCTCTTCAGGAAAGGTCAGCCTGATCTGACTCACGTCAGCTAATGCACCCCTGTCAGCTAATTTCTTCATTGCTTATTTTTCCTGGAGCCATAACATATGTAGAGGGAGCTTGATTTATAGATGGTGTCCTAAGAAAAGACAGTGGCAGAAAATCTATTCCTCTGGCAAAGTTGTGGCTATAAAGTATCTTAGTCTATGTTCTGTCATCCCAAGATGCACCAGCAAGAGCAGAGAGGTGGTGACTTGGATGAGACTGAACATTTAGAGTGGGTGTAGAGCATGATGTAGGAAAGCTGTGGCCTCATTAAAAAAAGATGTTGGAAAAAGGGCTACAAGAATGCTTGTCCTTTAGGCGGATCATATTGTGGGAGATTAGAGAGGCCTCAGTCTCTTGGTTTGTCCAAAATAAGGTAAAAATAATTGATAACAAACTGCAGACTGCTCTTTTATTCATCAGGAAAAAGTCATTGGTAATCCTTGCGTTTTTGAAGCTGGATACATTCAATGAGAAACTGGGTGACTTTTTACTTTTGAAATGAGAAAATAATTGTGCCCGCACAAATATTCTTCCAATATTCACAATTATTTACATTATTCTCATGAAATACTTCATAAAAGCCTGTCTAGCATTCCTGTCTCCATTCTACTAGTCAAGGTGACATGGGTAAAGGTGATTTTGCCTTGGGGTAAGAGAAGACACAAAATCACTTGGCTTCACATTTTATTTTCTATTTCCTTTTTCTATTAATTGTTGGTTTGGAGAAATATAGTCTCATATTTTTAGAAAGCAAATCTCTATGAAGCCAGTTCAAGGTAGGAATGTCTGACCATTCATGTTTTCCAATGTATGTTTTGGCTCTCATCAGTGCACTCTTACTGAGTTGCACGTCTTCTAGATATTCTCAGGGGTCTGCTAAAATGTTTCACTCTAATGTCATGATCATAGGGCAGCTAAACTCTGCTTTTATGTATGGGTTGGTCAGAGTCATGTAGTGCCATCTCTGTAAAGTGAACTCAGACTTATTGTTGCACCTTGCTCTACCAACCCTTTCATTTTGATCTTCTGTTTTATACTTAGCGTAACTACTGAAGTGAATATAGAGCTTCAGCATGAAAAATGGTTTAAGTGCAGAAATTTTTTCACTTGGAATTTAAAAATGCGGGCTCTTGTATCTGTCTCCTGAGGGGGGTGGAAAAAAAGAAAGTGAGAGAAAAAGAAAAAAGGAAAACAAAATAAAAATATGCTTCACAAATGCAGTGCTGTTGACTAAATCCATTGGCCTGTCAATGTTGTTATCTGGAATGCAGGGGATTGGAAAGTAGATGGAAAACAAGCAGTGTATGTTTGTATGAGGACACTATGG